TTTTATCTGGATGATATTTAAGAGCTAACTAAAATGAATTATAAACATTATTATTAAATTTGTTTATGAACAGTTTGATAATATTCTATTTACTGTAATTTTCCAAATTTCTATAATATGAATGTATACAGTAAGATTATTCTATCTAAAATTATGATAAAACTTATTCCAATATATTTTTATTTTTTAAATTGCTAAAGCAAATTAACTTTTTAAGTTTTGATCAATTAGATATCTGTGTAATGTTTAACCTGTTCCAACTAAAGATTGAAAATTCAATTTGATTATGTATTATTTCAAAGATATCAACAAAATATTTCAGATAAAGTATTACTAGATTTTATAACAATTTCTATAGTAGTAATATTTTATCAATTACATTAACTTATTAAGATACTACTTTTTGAAAGTAAATCCTTTTTATATACAAACATTAATAACAATTTTTCATTAAATAATGGGAGAGAATCAATTTTAGATAAATATATTCAATAAGAACTTCAAACCTTGGAATGAACAAAGAAAGAATTTGAAATAATTCAACAATATTTTTTCTTTCTTTTTGATCATGTTGTGAGCGATAAGAAAAATAAAATAATAAAGAGTGCTGTTAAAGATTTATGAAATGAATTGAGTAATACTTTTCCTAATGTAATGATATTTAAAGGGAAAACTAATTTGTAATAAATGGCACTATTTATCTGAATTTGAAAAGAGAAAAAAAATGAGTGGAATTTACCAGTTCCAGATAAAATACGATTTTTATTGTTTAGTACTTATTTAATTTTTTTAGTAAATTTTAATGTATTGATTTTATACCAGTCGACCCCCCTATTACACTGTTGATTATTCTGTTTTATATGAATTCCATGTTGTACGAGTCACTTAGATTTTACAAATATATGAACCGTTCACAGCCAGGCACACGTATTTGTAAAATCTAAGTGACTCGTACAACATGGAATTCATATGAAATGGAATAATCAACAGTGTTATAGGGGGGTCAACTGTATTATGCAAACAGTGCACTGTATTTATACAAAAGAATTTTGTTTGGAATTGGAATTGCTACTTATGTTATGATGGTTTGATGATAATTTTGTGTTTATACTGTATGTAGGCTGATGAGGAGTCTTCGTACCTGAAATGCATACTAAAATTTGACTATGAGTGATTAAAGGCTATTTTGTAAAAAATTTAGTCTGTTTATTCCAGTCATTACCTGATATGATAAGCCCTTCAAATTATTATAGCCATACTTATCTGTCTAGTTAATTTAATCTTAATATTTTTTCTTTAAAAATGTGTATTTTGGAGCTAATAAATTTAGTTTCATGTTCATATTAGATTTTTTAAATGATAAAATAAAACAGTGTTATTCAATATTTTGTTCATATTCACAGTTTTATGTTAACTATTAGATAACATGAAAAAAATTGCTGTAATTTTCTCATGTTATCTAATAGAATAAAAACACATTGAAATTGCATTTAATAAATACTAGAATGGAATATATTTATAAACTACTCCTGATGATATCGCGGACATTCACAATAATCCACTCGTAGTGATTACAATAATTATACTTGGCTTGTTTAGATATGATGGTATAATGTACTTTTACAGAATATCAAGCAACTCTGTGTTTTCTATTTTACTAAAATAATAAATTTAAATATTTTATTGTATATTTTTGTATAAAAAAGAATATAATAATTTATATATTTTAATTAATAGCCTCATATTAGAAAACTGAAATAATAGAAAATTATTTTGAAAATTTTCAAATTTAAATAAGTGATAAAGTGTAGAATAAGGTTTGAAAATCCTATTTGTAATATAATAAATTTTTAGATTTAAAATATGTTGCATTTAATAATAGAAATAAGGAAAATTAAAGAAAACTGAAAAAGCATTTGAAAATGATTTAAAATGAAAAATATTTCAGCTGTAAACTAAGTTAAATAAAATTCCCACTTCTGAATTAGTGTATAAGGTCTGTTCAAATAAAGATCAGACTTTTGACATAATGGCAAAGTATTGCACCAATCACACTTCCGCAAGTGGTACCATGTAGCCAGAAACTTTGGTAACACAATGTCCCTTGGCACATTCTAGTATTCTGGTTGGCAACAGAGCTGTCAAAGTAAACATGCAATCACCACTCTGAAATGAAGATGAAAGATGAAAGATTTTAAGGAGCAACATGCTTACATGAAATTTTGCTTTGAGATCAGCAAAACTTTTACTGAAACCTGAGCTTTGCATCAGCAGGCCTATGAGGAGGACTGTATGAGCTGTTTGCAGGGTCATGAATGGTTTAAGCATCTTAAGTTGGACAGAATATTGATTGAGGAAGATTCAAGATCAGGACAACCAATGTTGATTATTTTTTTTTTGTTATCAAAGCATAGTCCATCATAAATTTGTGCCACAAGGTTAAAATTTCTACATAGAACTCCTTGTTAAGACATTTGAGGGGAGATGTGTGCCAGAACAAGCCAGAGCTGTGGGAAAACAAGAGCTGGGTATTGCATCATGACAACATACCATGTCACACATCTCAGTTTGTCAGCCAAGTTTTGGCCACTAACAATGTGGCCATCCTTCCCTGTCCCAGTACTCTCTAGACTTGAGTACTCCCCTGTACTCTTTTCAAACTGTAGATGAGATTCAACAAATTCAAAGAGTCAACTATGTGCCATCTCACAAAATGAGTTCCAGGGAATCATTCCAACAGTGGCAAAAACAATAGAAATGGTGCATTGCAAGCAGGGGGAGTACTTTGAAGGAGACAAATATGCATAATATTGTAATCACAATAATAAGGTTTTATGACAAAAGTCCAATCTTTTTTGAACAGACCTCTTATATAAAAGATGTATTTATGAAGTTGAATGAATGAAACTACTAAATAGACAAATTATTGGTTCTACTTGGTGCATATGCTTTATATTGATGGTACAGATATTTCAAAAGAAAACAATTCATAAAGAAAAGAATCACTATTTTCTTCAAGATATGAACTGATCCAACAATATTGATACATCTAAATTCACTCAACTATTAAAAAATAAAACGACACAAATAACTGAACGCTTGAAGCAAGCACAAAAAACATTTTAAATAACATTTATAATTACAGAGACATGCTACCCATATTGTGCATGAATTAGTCAAAATGTCCAGTGAAATTAAGAGTAATGATAATGTCATTTTCATTTAGCCTATTTGACTTGTAAAAACAAACAAACAATATTCAACATAACAAGTTTATAACAAATTTTTATTCAATTGATATTTAATACTTAAATAAGAATACAAAGAAAATCAGTCAAAAATAAAACAAAAGTAAGTAAATAATAATTTGTTTATAAATAAAACTTATTTCCAATTTAANCTGTTTTTTAAAAAATTATTATTTATAGTAATAACAACAATTCCATCAATTCTACAATAATTCATGAATACTGGAAAATCTGTAGCCTGTCTATGCTACTTTTACACAGAATACTAAAATTAGGAATCTTAACTTTGATTTTCATTTACCTTCCACATATATTCATTTTATTACTTACTACAAATACTTGTATTTAGATTGTTTGATATCAGAATATTTTAAAGTTTAAATATCTTATTTTTGATTGGATCTGAAAATTTTCAAATGGCAAATTGCTGTATTTCCTCAAACCCCAGGGGTTTATTTTTTAAAATTTACATATCCTCTAGGATTTATTTGAAGTCCCAGGGTTTTTGAGGCTAGATTATTTTGCATCTATATTACCTTGCATCAGTAGACAAGTTGGTAAAAACTGAAACACCTTAATTATCTTAATTTATGGGTTACATTTGAAATAAGTACTGTTTTCAAAGTTAACTCAATTCAGTTATTACATTGTCATTTGTGTATGTTTCAATGTTGTGTAGGAATCAGTCTCGACTATCATCTTGCAGTTCAAACTCGCCATCTTTTTGGAGCTTTTCTAATTACCCTTTGACTGACAAGATCTTGACTTATAAAGTAAATTGCAACTTTTCCTGGCTCGGTATTCAACAATATTTCAATTTTACTTCAAAAAATATTTCCATTAACCTTGGAATAGAAAGTGCTATCTGACTCTACACAATTCAAAAAAATAGAATTTTAGTTAAATTCCTTATCTGCTAGTCTAAACTATATCACCCTGTACAGCATAGTACTTCAATATGTTTCCCATGCTTTTCAATCCAGGATTTAATTTTAATAACACCTTTATTCTCTGGGATTTATTCAAAGATCAGGATTTAATTTTAATGGCACCTTTATTCTCTGGGGTTTATTCAAAGACCAGGATTTAATTAAGGAAATATGGTAATTACGTAGGAAACAGATTATGAACTGTGCTAATGAGACACTTGATACTATTATAGTATGAAATATATGTTAATACTGTAGAGCAGTGTTTCCCAACCTGTAACTCACAAGAGTATGTACCTCGGGTGTGTCGCAGAAATATTAAGTATTGTTTAGAATTTTGAATAAGCTATTTTTTTAAAATTTCATTTATCTTTTTACTGCTGGCCACTTTGTAGCTTCTATAAATGTTTTGGCTTACCAGCTTAAAGACCAATACTAGCTCTATGCATTGACTCAAATAGTCTTTTTATTTTTATTTAGTATATTTGTAAAATTACGAGTTTTTTTGTCTTGGTAAGTTTAACTTCTATATTATCAAAATATTTTTAAATTGACTGTAATTTATTTTAAATTTTAAAAACAAAAATTAAGATGTGTCACAGGAATCTTATTAAATTCAATGTGTCACTAATCCAAAAAGATTGGGAAACACTGCTTTAGAGGAAAGCAATAATTTGGATTTTATTAGACAAAACTTCACAAGTCCCAAATGTTTTCAGGTTTATAGACCTAAGTTAGAGCATCTAATTTTCTTAGAGCAATCTAAAAATGATTGCAAATTTTAATTTTTAAGCTCCATTCACTTGAAAACAAGTCTTTAGCATAAAATCATTTGAGACTCTCATATATCTATCGTAATAAAACAGTTTTATATTTATTGAGTTTTGAAAGGAGTATTTTTTTTGTTCAGTTATAATTTGGCTGTCACACCCAATAGTATGTTCAAGGATTAGCTGTCATCTGGAAATTCTCAGTATTGATGGCACATCTGTTATTGTATATAATTTAGTAGTATGTATTGAACAAGCAGTTTTTTATATTATGTTCATTTTATTAAGAAAGAAAAGATTTAAAACAAGGTGTTTTAATTGAAACTTAAATATTTCATAAAGACTAAAAATTAGAAGTGGTTAATTATTTTACATAGTAACTAGATGGCTAGATTTGACCAAAAATATTACAGATTTTTATTTTTAAAGAATTATACTTTATAAAATCATTTAATATCTGTCAAAATGTCCATGAAAGAAGATTTTATTTAATATTTGCTGATTGTTATAGGAAAAAACTACCTAGACAGCTCACCTTTGACCTACCCGTCTTGTTAGTAGTAGCATTCTGACTAGGAAACTGGATTCCTTGTTGATTCTGTATGTTAGAAGGTAGGGGTATATCATGCAGGATATCTTAACTCATGCTTTTAATCAACTCAAACTAAAGTTGTACAAAATAATAAGGAAAATATTGGATGCATAGGAGATTAAGAAAATTGTTATAATAAATATAAAACTGAGTTTAATCAATCTATTAAGACTAAGTATTAAAATGATTTTATAAGCAGAAATTAAATTAATAAAGCATGAAATAAACAATAGCAAATTATATTTAATAAATAGTATTTTAAAGTACAAAATAAAATTTTCATTAAATCTAGCCCCATTTGACATATACCCCCTACACTCCTCTCTATTTCTCTCTCTTCCTCAACTTATAATTTCCAAAATGTAACAGCATTAATACGGCATATATAAAAGTATTCCTGCCAAATTTCAAAATTTTTGGCCATTTCATATCCCTTTTGACACACACTTTCATTTTATTTTTATTTTTCTAAAAAAAACATGTATTATAAAAACAAATTTTCTTCTTGAGAAATTCAGAATAATGCACTTAAATTATTGACATTTGTTTATTAATATAGAATTTAATAAATGATTTAATTACTAGATTTTTCTTTGAGTGATTCAATCATCTTAATTTAGGAAAATAAATCATTCCAAATTACATTGATTTTTAGTACATGTAAAATTTATGGAGTCAGTCAACAACACATTATTATTATGTTGGGTTTAGTGAGTTATACTTGGTTAACACTGGTTGCTATGTACTATGCCAGACTAGAGTCAAGGTATAGTAACCAAAGCAAGACAAAAATTAAATACATGTGTCAGTGTGTGTGTCTGTATTCAGGAATTTCCTAACAATATTACATGTATTCAATACAGTGGCCTATTGTAGTGTTATGTATGTGTTTCTATTCAATTGTAGTGTTCCCAAACTTTTATGTATTGTGTGTGGTATGACACCTTTAATAAGCACCTTATCCATCCTCCATAGATGACTTATTTCCTGGGCAAGTTCTGTGTATTTGCTGATTTTTCAGTGCATGTGTTTTGTACATTGTGAGTGTTTGGAATTATTATTATTTAAAATTTCATCAAGTTAATTTAATGGTATAATTTTTTGGAGAGACATCATCATCATCCCATTTAATAGAGAGTGAAAATTTATGAATTATTGTAGAATTGAAGAATAAATATTAACTTTAATTTTCATAGAAGATTTCAGGTTTTGATAGTGAATTTTATTTTTCAACATATATCATTAGTATGAAACAGTAGAATTTTACACGAGTAAACTGGAATCAAATGTCAATCATCAATCATTTTGTTTTTATTAAATTTTTATAAAATAACATTAAAATTTAAAATACTAAATGCATTATTTGAGTTATGCAAATTATAAACAACAAACTTTATATTGTGATTATATAATTAATTAAAAAATTCTTTCACTACCCAACATCACAACTGGACATGTAATTTTTATTTCTTCTTATCCTTCAAAATGCATTCAAGAAGTTTTTATTCTTTAATATATGTCTAGTTAAATAAAAATCCCACTGATCATTACTAATATGCCAAACTTTAAATGATACATTACAATAGAAAGAAAAATAAAGCTTTAAAAATAGTCTATAGAAAAAATTTGACAGTTTGATTTGAGTTACTTAATAATTTGGAGTCTATCTACAGTTTATATTTGTCACAGACAAATAAGTGCAAAACCTAAAATTCATATCAAAAATACATTCATTTACTTATTAATTGAAACTAATTCTATTAATTTAAAACATGATAAGTCAAGAAGTTATTACTAAGAATCAATTTATGGTAGCTTATTTGATGGCAGAATATAAGAATAGATTGTGACAAACATTTAGATTAGGAACAACAATTATTATTTAGCAAAACTATCAATAGTAAATGTGATCAATATGATGATTTTCACACCAAATATTGTATACTAAATGAAGAAGACACTGAGGATGGTGTTGTGTGTGTACAACGTGTTACTGTATGTGTTAGTATACAATAGTAAATGTTTTGAATAGTTTCAAATGAAAAATTATTATCCTAGTATGTAAACTGTTTGTGCCTTTATCTAATGTCTTTTTTACTTTGATTCACAACCTTAAGAGACAGATTTTTTATATCTAATTCTATATGAATGTCACATTTCTATAATTAACAACTATATTTATTTAAGTTATTTTTTAAATTTGTATCATCAAAATCCATCAAAACTTAACCATAATTTCTACTTATTTCGATCAAGTTTCAAGATTCTCAATGATATTTTGTCCCATATTTTCATTACTTTAACAAAATATTCTTATTTTTGAAATATTTAAGAATATTGAAATCTGAACACATACTAATTTTAGATACAATCTTTGGTATTTTTTGAACATTTTTTTGTTGTTATAAAACTTAGTTGTCAATTGAATGTTAATATTAATATTCTTAATCTACCATATGTTGTTATTTTGCTAAACATTTTTATGGCTCAGTAGATATGCAAACTTTGTTCATGGGTATATGAAATACACTAAAGGAAATAATTGGTGTAGTAATAATAATTTAAACTGAATGGAAAATTTTTAAAAAAATTAATAGTTTATAAATGGCTAATAACAATAAAATTTAAAATAAATATAAAAAGCCAAGAAACTTCTTTGGTCGATTCAAGGATTTTCCCAATTAAGCTAAGAAAATGTTTTATAGATTACCTTTAAGTTACAGTAATCGCCCGTCTCTTCTGGTGGTCTTGGTTTGCATTTTCCACAGCAGAAATTACAGCAACAGCAAAAACAACAACATAGATAACATCCTGTGATTATGCCACAAAATATAAAGAGAGCCTAAAAAAATAAATTATATTTATAAATATTCTTTTGAAATAAAGTTTAAAAAATATAGAAGATTACCAACCTTGCACCATCCACTTGTAAGTACAAAATAAGTATTGACATTTTCTTCTCCAAATTGTTCAGCTATGTACAATCCCAAAGATCCATAATTGTCATATATATTTCTTTTAGTTAAATCACTCAAAATGCTATGTGCTCGATTAATCTCTTTAAACTACAAAAATGTTAAAATTTTTCTCAAATATAATGCAATTCTATAATATTAGAATGAAAACTTATTTAATATTAGTTGTAAATTTAAATAAAACAATTCATATTATGTACTTACCTTCTCAGCTGCTGCAGGATCATTTGGATTTTTATCTGGATGATATTTAAGAGCTAACTAAAATGAATTATAAACATTATTATTAAATTTGTTTATGAACAGTTTGATAATATTCTATTTACTGTAATTTTCCAAATTTCTATAATATGAATGTATACAGTAAGATTATTCTATCTAAAATTATGATAAAACTTATTCCAATATATTTTTATTTTTTAAATTGCTAAAGCAAATTAACTTTTTAAGTTTTGATCAATTAGATATCTGTGTAATGTTTAACCTGTTCCAACTAAAGATTGAAAATTCAATTTGATTATGTATTATTTCAAAGATATCAACAAAATATTTCAGATAAAGTATTACTAGATTTTATAACAATTTCTATAGTAGTAATATTTTATCAATTACATTAACTTATTAAGATACTACTTTTTGAAAGTAAATCCTTTTTATATACAAACATTAATAACAATTTTTCATTAAATAATGGGAGAGAATCAATTTTAGATAAATATATTCAATAAGAACTTCAAACCTTGGAATGAACAAAGAAAGAATTTGAAATAATTCAACAATATTTTTTCTTTCTTTTTGATCATGTTGTGAGCGATAAGAAAAATAAAATAATAAAGAGTGCTGTTAAAGATTTATGAAATGAATTGAGTAATACTTTTCCTAATGTAATGATATTTAAAGGGAAAACTAATTTGTAATAAATGGCACTATTTATCTGAATTTGAAAAGAGAAAAAAAATGAGTGGAATTTACCAGTTCCAGATAAAATACGATTTTTATTGTTTAGTACTTATTTAATTTTTTTAGTAAATTTTAATGTATTGATTTTATACCAGTCGACCCCCCTATTACACTGTTGATTATTCTGTTTTATATGAATTCCATGTTGTACGAGTCACTTAGATTTTACAAATATATGAACCGTTTACAGCCAGGCACACGTATTTGTAAAATCTAAGTGACTCGTACAACATGGAATTCATATGAAATGGAATAATCAACAGTGTTATAGGGGGGTCAACTGTATTATGCAAACAGTGCACTGTATTTATACAAAAGAATTTTGTTTGGAATTGGAATTGCTACTTATGTTATGATGGTTTGATGATAATTTTGTGTTTATACTGTATGTAGGCTGATGAGGAGTCTTCGTACCTGAAATGCATACTAAAATTTGACTATGAGTGATTAAAGGCTATTTTGTAAAAAATTTAGTCTGTTTATTCCAGTCATTACCTGATATGATAAGCCCTTCAAATTATTATAGCCATACTTATCTGTCTAGTTAATTTAATCTTAATATTTTTTCTTTAAAAATGTGTATTTTGGAGCTAATAAATTTAGTTTCATGTTCATATTAGATTTTTTAAATGATAAAATAAAACAGTGTTATTCAATATTTTGTTCATATTCACAGTTTTATGTTAACTATTAGATAACATGAAAAAAATTGCTGTAATTTTCTCATGTTATCTAATAGAATAAAAACACATTGAAATTGCATTTAATAAATACTAGAATGGAACATATTTATAAACTACTCCTGATGATATCGCGGACATTCACAATAATCCACTCGTAGTGATTACAATAATTATACTTGGCTTGTTTAGATATGATGGTATAATGTACTTTTACAGAATATCAAGCAACTCTGTGTTTTCTATTTTACTAAAATAATAAATTTAAATATTTTATTGTATATTTTTGTATAAAAAAGAATATAATAATTTATATATTTTAATTAATAGCTTCATATTAGAAAACTGAAATAATAGAAAATTATTTTGAAAATTTTCAAATTTAAATAAGTGATAAAGTGTAGAATAAGGTTTGAAAATCCTATTTGTAATATAATAAATTTTTAGATTTAAAATATGTTACATTTAATAATAGAAATAAGGAAAATTAAAGAAAACTGAAAAAGCATTTGAAAATGATTTAAAATGAAAAATATTTCAGCTGTAAACTAAGTTAAATAAAATTCCCACTTCTGAATTAGTGTATAAGGTCTGTTCAAATAAAGATCAGACTTTTGACATAATGGCAAAGTATTGCACCAATCACACTTCCGCAAGTGGTACCATGTAGCCAGAAACTTTGGTAACACAATGTCCCTTGGCACATTCTAGTATTCTGGTTGGCAACAGAGCTGTCAAAGTAAACATGCAATCACCACTCTGAAATGAAGATGAAAGATGAAAGATTTTAAGGAGCAACATGCTTACATGAAATTTTGCTTTGAGATCAGCAAAACTTTTACTGAAACCTGAGCTTTGCATCAGCAGGCCTATGAGGAGGACTGTATGAGCTGTTTGCAGGGTCATGAATGGTTTAAGCATCTTAAGTTGGACAGAATATTGATTGAGGAAGATTCAAGATCAGGACAACCAATGTTGATTATTTTTTTTTTGTTATCAAAGCATAGTCCATCATAAATTTGTGCCACAAGGTTAAAATTTCTACATAGAACTCCTTGTTAAGACATTTGAGGGGAGATGTGTGCCAGAACAAGCCAGAGCTGTGGGAAAACAAGAGCTGGGTATTGCATCATGACAACATACCATGTCACACATCTCAGTTTGTCAGCCAAGTTTTGGCCACTAACAATGTGGCCATCCTTCCCTGTCCCAGTACTCTCTAGACTTGAGTACTCCCCTGTACTCTTTTCAAACTGTAGATGAGATTCAACAAATTCAAAGAGTCAACTATGTGCCATCTCACAAAATGAGTTCCAGGGAATCATTCCAACAGTGGCAAAAACAATAGAAATGGTGCATTGCAAGCAGGGGGAGTACTTTGAAGGAGACAAATATGCATAATATTGTAATCACAATAATAAGGTTTTATGACAAAAGTCCAATCTTTTTTGAACAGACCTCTTATATAAAAGATGTATTTATGAAGTTGAATGAATGAAACTACTAAATAGACAAATTATTGGTTCTACTTGGTGCATATGCTTTATATTGATGGTACAGATATTTCAAAAGAAAACAATTCATAAAGAAAAGAATCACTATTTTCTTCAAGATATGAACTGATCCAACAATATTTATACATCTAAATTCACTCAACTATTAAAAAATAAAACGACACAAATAACTGAACGCTTGAAGCAAGCACAAAAAACATTTTAAATAACATTTACAATTACAGAGACATGCTAGCCATATTGTGCATGAATTAGTCAAAATGTCCAGTGAAATTAAGAGTAATGATAATGTCATTTTCATTTAGCCTATTTGACTTGTAAAAACAAACAAACAATATTCAACATAACAAGTTTATAACAAATTTTTATTCAATTGATATTTAATACTTAAATAAGAATACAAAGAAAATCAGTCAAAAATAAAATAAAATAAGTAAATAATAATTTGTTTATAAATAAAACTTATTTCCAATTTAAAGTTTAATATTTAACTAAATTGATTAATCTTTGTATAAGCTTAATTCTTTTCTAATCAATAAATAATTATAAATAAATAAAACAATACTGAATTATGTTTTCTTGAATAATTGTTTAATATTTTGTTGAGTTTAATAATGCTTATCTTTCTTTCATTATGAAATAATTGATTTTAACTAAAAAATTCACATAAATTAATATTAAAAATATTTTGTAACAATTATTTGTTTACAGAATCATTATACAGAATTATTTATTTTTTGAATAGAAACTGAAAAGCAATTCTCTACAAAAAATATTTTTATCACAGATAATGAAATATAACAAAAAACAAACTGAACTTTTTAATAATACATATTAAGAAGCATTACAAGAAAATTTTTAAAAAAATTCAGAAGTGTAAACACAAAATTTAATTTCCTTGCAATAAATTTTTAATTCAATTTCAAAGGAATGTCTGAATAAAAACTTACCCTCCTGTATGTTTTTTTTACTTCATCTTGAGTAGCAGTTTTTGGCAGACCCAATATCAAATACAATGAATCTCCAGAAGTTCTACGAAAAAAAAATGCAAATTTTTTTATTTAATTGTGCCTTTTACAAAATGCTTAAGTCTAAATTACAGACGAATTCAACATAAAAACAATTAGATAAATTTTAATTAAAATACTACTCCCAAGTATTGTAGCACTTAAAAATAGTAATCAGAATGAACATTTAGTAAATTAAAAATTGAAGTCAAAAACATAGAACACAAATGTAATAAATTTTAAATTAAATGCATTTGTGAAATGTTTGTGTCATGTAATTAATCAAATTACTTATTCTCAACAGACTGGATAAATGTATAATTAGTTAAAATGTATGTATCAATACAATATTTTGAAAGTTATAATAATAATTTAAATGTTAATGATTTCTGTATTAACATTTAATTTGCAATAATAAATAAATATGACTGAGAATGTAATATTATAGTTGAAATATACAATTACTCAGAAACATTGAAAACAAATCGCTTTTTTCTGAAAGCTACAATTTGTTTATTAAAACAGACATTTTTGACCTACTTTAGGTCGTCTTCAGCTGTTACACAAAAAATTAGAGAATGAAATGTCTGCTAGTTAGTCAAAGAAAAATTCAAGTTTTGTGCAATAGCTAAAGATGATCTAAAGTAGATTGAAAACCATTTCTGTTTTAATAAATAGATTTTTGACTTCTAGAAAAAAAAAGCTGTCTTCTGTTTCATAAAATGGTATCAGTTTTGTCTGAGTTTTTTTAATTACTCAGAATTTAAATAAATCGATTCATAAATATTTTGTTAACTTGACTTATATACTTATAATAGAGTTTGCTATTCTCTAAGCAATTAAAATTATCAAATGTTTTTTATTTTCATATTTTACTAATGCTTTATTAAAAATATTTTAAAGTAATATAACTGTTTCTGTTTTTAAATATACATTTAAAACAATTTATATAAATACATATTTCCATATATTTTCTTAAAGATAATTTAATACTGAATACAAAAATGTCTGAATATTAATCCTTGTTTAGATCTCTAATATATTGGAATATATTGAGTCTGGGTGTATGTTAATCGATTTAAGGACTGTACAATTCTACTTAGAATAAAATGATGGTTTTAATAACAAATAAGGATCAGTGCCAACTATCAGTATGGCTTACAAGGTATAAATGTGCTACAGTTTAGTGATGACACAAGGTAGTTCTAATGACAAACATTAAATTCTAAACTTATTACTAAAATACTAAACTAATTTGCATTTAATCTACATACAATTATTTACAAGACGATAAACATGTGCTGCCACAACCTTCCTTTGTTCTTCTATTAGATGAACTTCCAAATCTCCGATTGTCGGACAACAGTTCATGACTCTCCACTAATGTACTTTCTATATGTAGCCATATTTCATATATATATATCAAACGTTTACAATATCAATATTACTTGGGTCCGTTAATGTTAAACTGTCCGTATATGCACAACACGATGCTGCTGATGATAAGTTCTTAAGGATGGAAACGGATTACAATACAGTACCTTCACTCGATGTATTTATTTCTTGGCTGACTCTTCTATCTCCTGCTACCAGACGAACTATATCGGACCGCGAAGCAAAACCAAGAAAGATCTTTCAACACACAAGACGGCCCAATTTATACTCCCCCTCATTCATGAATACTCTCTTAACACGTGATCCCGTTCTTGACAAATTAGTCCACACCAGTCAGTGTAGCAAGAAAAGTGATACAACAATCTTCCGCGGACAGTTATACAAAAAGTAGATCCCGACACGTGGTAATGGAAGATAATTTATATACACAAAATTATATTAATATCTAAGCATACATAAACAACAACACTAAAGTAGCACAGCACTACATCCTCATCAATTTTTTCATTCAATAAAAAAATGATTCATTCTATGTAGGAATGTATACTTGTTGTTTTGTTAAGTTTTACTTCAAATGGAATGAAAAGTATTAGCTTCAATGTAAGAGATGTTTGTTTATTGAACTAACAATTTGCCTAATTTGTAGAATATTTTTTGTTGTACAGCTATATTTATATCTGCCAATTGCAATCTAATCTAAATAGTTAAACAAACCCAGAAAAGACCTAAAAATAGAAAATACTATTTTAGAAGAAAGTAACGAGTTTTCTACTAATTTTAATATATTTTATCATCAAAATCATATTTAAAGAAGCTTCTTCACAATAGTCAAAGATGAAAGTTTATTGTACTTTACTTACAAAAAAAAACCAGTTTCCTGATTAATGAACTCATGGTAAAATTTTTAAACTATCAAAATAAATAACTTTTTCAAAGAAGAAGATCAAATTGACAAGAAGAAAAGTAGTAATTAAAAAAAATAATTATATCATGCTTTACATATGTGTTTTTTTCAGTTCAAACAATAGAAAAATCCAACAAAAATGTCATTCAAACTATTAATGAAATGTATTGTAACTCTTGTGAAATATTTGAATATATCAAGAAGTAATCAATATCATCCCTTAATTAAATTGTTATTAAATTTTCATTTAATGACTTTACAAATTAACATTAGATTAAGAATTGGAAAAGTTAGAATTTTTTTAATGCTAATTAGGGTCTACAGAATTAATAAAATACATTAATTGATTTCATTGCACATCGGGATAACTATAGAATTTCATTTCGTGCCTTATTATTTCAATATTAATAAGCATTTTATAACTCTTCTAGACATCATTAATTAACCATTCAATGTAATCAATAAGGTGTTATGCAAATTTAATTAGTGTCTTTTATTGAAATTAATTTCTTAATAAATTTTTATAGTTCAACTTAATTTATTGAAGTATTTACTAGTAATTATTCATATATCTGATGACATTATTTCTCATTGAATCATTTTTACAAAAAAAGAATTATATCGTGCATCATGCATGTAGCTTATAAATAATTTTAGAAGAAAAATTTAATTACAAATTAATGTTTGTTTTAGGAGATACTGTATGACAGTGGTCATTTAGATATATTAAAAATTATGGTATGTTATAAATTAATAAAAAGTTCTCTCTTATTACATGAAGGAAAAGGAAATATTTTTCAATGGTAGTTCAAGAATAAGTAACAAACAGTTTAGTTTAATTAATGTGTAATGCTATACTAAAGTAGCTTTGTAGCACCCAACACAACAATCCCTCTTACAACATTCACAATCACATTTCTGCATAAAGGGTTTAAATTAGAGATGTCACGAATATTCGGCTACAATTTGGTATTCGGCCACTTTTTTTTAATATTCGGTATTCGGCTGAATGTTGCATACTATTCTGCCAAATACAAAAAAAAAATAAAAAAGCGCACATATTACTCAAAAACATATTTATTTTAATCACAAATTATTACATTTAATACTTAAAATCTATTAGTGGTAAGTTGTGATGAATGAAAACAATTTTTTCAGCATTTGTTGATAGCAAATGATTGCACTTTTCCTCATAAACTATACCTGTTTCTGAAAATAGTCTCTCACTATATACACTAGTGCCGGGAGACGATAGATAAATCTTAGTGAATTCTGTCAGGCTTGGATACTGTTTTGCATTTGCTGACCACCACTTGTAAAGGTTGACGTCCAATGTAAGCAAACAGTTTTCATATAAAGTGATACAAACAGTGATATTTTTTAGTAATAAGGACTATTAGTAACACAATTTGATGTAACAATGAATAAATAATGCATGTCGTGGCACGATTACTTGCAAATAAAACAAATGCGCCAGCGGTGTCGCTACCACACCCACCGCAATGAGACAGGTCAACCTGTCACCCATGAAATACACACATATTTACACCATCCAAAGAATAACGTGTCCAGCCCATCGGATTAATACCATCGAGAAAATACAAGTTGACTGATGAGGGGCTTTATTCCAGAAATGTGCTGTTGTCACATATCAACTAAAAATGATGGAAATAAAGCCAAGTGTTTATTTATAACTCAAATGCGAGTTCGAAATCCAATTTTCTTTTTCATATTTTTATATGAAGATTTTAACATAATACTGAAACAAGAATTTTTTAAAAGTCCTATCTACTTTAAAAAGAAAAATCCAACTCCTTATAAAAATCACAATTTTAAAGAAAATCTATTTTTTGTTAATATGTTCTTTATATTGTATAAAGTATTTATTAAAAAAATTATTTTTTTCATTATTTCAATATTTAGTGACAACCTCAAAGTTCAATTATTGAAAAGTAGCAGCTTATACAACCCTGACAAAAAAACCTCAGACAGCATGTTATTTTAATCAATCTGTAGCTCATCCTTCAATAATATCAAACAAAAATTTTGTACACTTATAATTATTACATATTAGTAAATTATTATTATAATTAAAGATTTTACATAACTTTTTTTTATATATTATTAATATGATTTACTACGTCATCATGAGAATTCTTACACTATTCGGCACATGGCGAACAAGATGGCCACGTGGTTGTTGGGAATATATTATTAATATGCAAATTTTTATATGAGCAATTGAAAAAAGTATGTGCAACAAAAAAAAAAAACTCAAACAGCGCCATTTCTGACAAATAATGTCTCAGACAGTACATTAATATTTAATCTTTGGCTTGTATAACAGTGTTTATACAATCATTCAGTGTATCAACAAGAGCCAAGTATTCATTTTGAGTAATTTTATTCCAAATTTGCTTGATTATTTGCTTTAAACCATTCACACTTCCTTGACATCATTTTCTTAATGCTTTTTTAATTGTACACCACATATTTACTATAAGGGAAAGGTTGGGACTACTCAATTGCCATTTTAATATGTTAATATTTTGTTGGGCCAGCCAAGCCTTGTTGGTTTTAGCAGTATGGCAACTTGCACCACACTTCTAACCAACAAGTTGCTGGAAAATAAAATGTCTGTGATATTGTAATTTTTCTAATGATGGTAATAGGTTTTCTTCTAGGATTTCTTGATATTTTGCTGCATTTACTGATCCCTCGATAAA